ATGGTGCTGAGACTGTCGATGTGTCCCTGGCCTGAGGTATCGAGGCTATATTTTAAAACTTTGAAGAGGATCCCATTGTTAACTTATAAAAAAACGGGATCGAAACGTCGAATAATCACAGAAGCAATGAACATTTAGTAGTTCATTGAATAATTAATAAGTGAGCTTATTCCCAATAAAATAATTATGTTTATATATATATTTATAGAGAAGAATAGTTGGGGTGATCAGTCAAATAAGAAGGCAAAAATAAATGATAATATTTATTTTGACATTTGCCGACGTTTCGACCTTCTCTCCACCCCCACCCTGACTAACATGGGCATTGCTCCGATTTACATCTTTGCAGTCAGGTCTGTTTTTCTTATTCTCTTTCTTATTTCAGCCATCTCAGTTTTTTTCCTCCTTCCTTTCATTCCTTTTCTCTGTTTTAACTCTTTATTATATTATACGTTGTCTGTACATCTTGATAGACTTTACAACATCTCAATTTTCTATCTAACTATTCTGTTCGCAATATCTTAATTTTACTATTTATTTCCATTTCTTCATATTTTTCTGTTTTACGTTTAATTCTAAGATTCCCATTTTAATACTTATGTCACCTTTTTTGATTATGTTTACTTCATCATTCCTCACTTTGTACCGCTATTATCATTTATCTCTTAGTTCTTACTATTGTCATTATTCTAACAACTGCATTTTACTTTAATTATTTTTTTTTTTTTACCTTCACTACTTATGTTTCTCATACCTTGTCTGGTTCTTTTCTTAGCTCTGATGATGGCCTGATCGAAACGTTGGCAAATGTCAAAATAAATATAATTTATTTTTGCCTTCTTGTTTGACTGATCACCCCAACTATTCTTCTCTTCATATATACATATATATATATATATATATATATATATATATATATATATATATATATATATAGGTCTTTACAGAAATCCTTAAACTTTCAAAAGCATATTCTAATTTTAGTTTGAGCTAGTCTTATCTTCAAATCTAATAAACTACTCTTAATTTGCAAGTTCATTCTTAGAAATATTTCCAGTAACTACATTTATTAGCAATATAATGTATTATCCCAACACTTTCCTTTCAAGTAGTGAGCTTTCTGTTGATTACAGGTTGCACAGATGTAGGTTTAAATGGGTTGGATAATGGATTTACACAAATTTATCTTTCCACACCGACTTAGCAGCTTACTCCTAAGAAACATTCTTGAGGTTCTATATATTTTTTTATCCTCAATAATTCGACTTTGTATCTCTTCCTCTCTATCTAAGTTGATCAATGATAATTCATTCCAAGCACCTAAAGCTGGAGACACTCTCAAATATAAACTTTTACACTACTTTTTCCATTTACCCCCTACCTTCTCATTTGGATATCATAGGGGGTGAGGTTTGGGGATTTTTCTAGTGGTACCAAATGAAAATTCATTAAAAAATCATTAGCAGACTTGAAAACTTTATCCATTATTTGCTAAACCTCTGTGCACCTTTCCCCTTCCAAGGTATTTATAAATATATATATATATATGTGTGTGTGTAGATATCATTTTAAAGATAAATGGTTGCTGGAAAATTACACGTCAAGAGCAATCCTGCTAGTAGAGGTGGGGAAACTAGTCTGGCAAGTGGATCATGTGGTGCATCAGCCAACCTCTGACAGCTACCTAGAGATTGCCGTTACATACTAACCAGAGTGGGAGTGTATGCTGGATTCACATAATGAATCTGTTAGAATGGGTTGGATAATAGATTGGAGGAGTAAAAGAAACATGATCAGCAACAGGTAAAAAATAAGAGTGTGGGCGGGGTGGCCGAATGGCCTAAAGTGTGTGCACAGCACCGCCCTTGCCCGGCAACCTGACATATGAATCTAATGATATAAAATAGTCACAAGTTCTATTTAAAATTATAAAAGCTACGAGAGGGAGTCTTTTAAATCCCCGCCCACACCCCCTGACCCGGGAAAACCCCATATAGCCTTAACGGCGAGGAAGTGGAGGACTCCCCCCCCAAAAAAGGTAAAAAATAAGAAAAAAATATTATTTCTCAGGGCTGCTGTGATATAAATATCAATTGACTCAGGTAAGAATTGAACACACAATATTCTGAAATGTGGCTGTTGGGATCCTCGCCCCAATGTGCGTGAACAGCATATTCCATACTAACAGATTATTATCCCTTTTCACATCTTACCACAATTATTTTAATAAAGTATTTGTTGAACTATCTTTGAGAGATAAAGTATCTTTATTTTAGTGATCTTTTTAAGACTGCTGTTGTGAGTAGTGCTGGCTCTAGTCTCTATTTATGTATTCTCAAGCAGTCCTCATGATGCCTGAATTGATGAAACATCAATTAGTTACTTGTTGGCTCAAGGTTTTTGTGAAATCTAAACAAAAAATATGGTTTGTCCACCTTTTTTTTTAACCAATCTCTACTTTTGATCATTTAGATATTGATTTTGTTATGAGGTTTAGAAATAAACAGTACAACAGTTTGAAATTTGATTCTGGCAAATATAATACGAGGTGCTTTATTTACAGAAAGTATTAAGAATAATATACACAGACTTGTAGGAGATTTGAGACATATTTTAAGTATAATGCTTATAAATATAAAACATTTCATGTCATATAAGTTAGAGGAACAATTTAAATCTAATTTGTAATATACACAAAGAAAATCTTGATTACTAAAAATAAAAAAAAAACCAAAAAAAAAAACCTAGCTTTGAATTAATAGTAAGTTGCTTGGAAAGATTCCTTAATATTTAAAACATACAAAAATAAATACATTCAACAAAAACTTTAAAAATGCACTGAAAATTTTCTACGATGTGCTGAGAACATTTGGCTATGGGCATAATTATTTCTTTAACCAGGTATTTTATTGAAGTAGGAAAATACTTGGAATATTTTTATATAAAAAATTAATTTATCAGTATTGGTAGCAAGCAACAAATTTTACAGGTGAAGAAAAAATTATTCCTATCTCTTAAGGTTTAAATGTCTCTAAATTGATTTTTTTTTTTTTAATATTAATTACTATATTTTGTTTTGTATTTTATAAAAAAACAATCTTATTAAATTAAAATAATACTATTCATAATATGCAATAGTTGATGATATTAATTAATGTAAGAGAAGATGGTCAAAATCAATAATTTAAAACTATTTAATTAATGTTGACAGGCGGAATCAGATGAAAATAGTAGCAATAATACATAATAATAAAACACAATTATATAAATATTAAAATAAAAATCAAACGTAAGAAAAAAAAAATGAGATAACACCTTAATCATTACAACAGTATATTAAAAATAAAATTACATGAAATAATTGTTTCTCATTTGCTCCATTTTATTTCGTATATTTACACCTTTATCTAGTGTTACTGTTTTATATACTTCTTTAATTTTAACCAGTCAGATTTAACCCCTGAATTTTTTTTTTAAATTGAACTTACTTTTTGTTGATATCCCTTAAGAAAATTTGAAATTTTTACAATTATTTAATATTTAACCTGAACAATTTGAGGCCACAAAAATTCTCTATTTGCATTATTTTTTTCTTCAAATATTAAATTATAGTGACTTCAACATTCAGAAAGAATTTCTCAAGTTATACAAAATATTTTATTTATTTATTTTAATTTCTGCTTTACTTATATATGAAATATATTGTAAGGGAAAGTACTGTGTTCATGAAAATATTGAATCCAAGTTTATTATTATTAATATATATATTTTTGTGTTTATATAAAACACAAAACAGTTAATATCTCAAAAATATTCAAACTGGAAATATGTCCCTGAAGATTGCCTCATTCTGGTTGGCATTTGACTAATTTTAAAATATAAAATGCCCTAGAATAGCGCTAGAGGAAATTATTAAAGTTAAATTGAATCAAGTGAATATTGAAGTAATTTTAAAACACAAACATGTATAGAATATTGCAATATCATAAGATGAACAGAGTTATGTACAAGTCTAAAAATTGTAAGTCCTAACTTAATTAAAAGTAACTATATTATATACATATTAAATATCATAAATAATAATAACAAAACTATTTAAAAATAACAAGAAATCTTTGATTTCTGATTGGGAGGGACTGGTAAATTAGTTACAATATCATAATATTAGACTAATAGGGAATATAAGACATGATCAATTATTGGTTTATTTTAACATATAATGGTATGATATACAGTCTAAATACACTTATCACTAACTCTAGAATATATCATATTTATTTATTAAATATTAAATAGCCAGTCAATTGTTTACTTATGTAAAAGATATGTAATACTTATGTCTAAATAAATCTTGATAGTTTATACTTTTTGAAATATCAGGCTTTCAGCAGGTTATATTTATAGATAATTGCTCCTAATATTTCCATGACTCGTATTAATGATAGAAAGGCAAGTTAGAAAAGCGAGCAATTTCTAGTCCGATTATCACTAAAACTGAATCTGTTTATTGGTACAGAAGTCACTGTATTCTATCCATTGTAATTTAAAAAAAAAAATCTATGATCACAGGAATGAATGATTATGGCAACATTATGGTTATTTTTAAAATTTTACTGTTTGCAACTAATCCAATACCTTGTTTGACATAGTTGTAACAAAAAAAAAAAAAAAAAAATTGGAAGCAGCCATTATTATTGATGACTTTTATTGGGAAGAAAACAGTAATCATCTTCTTTCACTCTGGAAACCTGGATTAGGATGAGCAAACCACTCCAATTTTCAATGATTTGCAAATGTTTTGAGATGGATAAAATCAGAATAAAATCCTTAATCATGTGAATATTTAATACTGAAGAAAATCATCTGTTAATGGAGAGCATTTAAAAATTTAAAAGTATTTACAAAGCACTGGGTTTTTTAACATTTTCAAAATTTGTTAAGGAATTCAGCACTATCAATTGTGCAAGATCATGGACTGATAAAATTGTCATCTAATGACCTTAAGCGAATGTCTGGTCTAGAGAGACAGCAATCTTATTCCCTTTCTCGACCCAATTTTTCAATCGTCCTCTCAATTCTTCCAAAGATTTGGATTTGGCCTTGTTGATTCTCTTATATTTTACATCCTTGGGCTTGGTTACCGAACGGTGGTTGCTCATGACCCTGTTATAGGTTGTGACCTGGCTCGGAGGGTCCTTGTCACCATCCAACCTCTCGAAGCTGCCATTGAGGTCCTTCAGCTTGGGTCTCTGTCGGGGTGTACTTTCTTCAGTTGCACTGTTACGTTCTGCCTCACCATCTTGCCCGTCCACATCTTCCTCAACGCTGTAGACAGTTTCCAAGATCTCTGGTCTCCTCAGTAAGCAGTTGCTACGCCGCAAGAGTGAATACTTGTTGCTATTAGGGGCTTCAAGAGCATCAGAGACGCTTCTGATAACAGTGACTCCATTATGGCATGGAATGCTGTCATCATCTTCCAGAATGACCGCACTGTCGCTGTCATTGAGGGAGTCGAGGTTGGTCTCCTCTGTCAGCTCAACGCCGGCATCGCTCAGCCTGTTCTGGAGTTGCTTGATGATCTTCTGCTGTTTGGCAATAAGAGCTTCTCTATGTGTCAACATGAGGCTGATATCGCGTTGCTTCCTACACAGCCGGGCCTCAAACAGGAGCAATTGTGTTGATAACTTTCTTAGTTGTTCACTCCTTTCATGATTCATACGCTGGATATTTTCTTCCTGGAAAATAATAAATTACATTAGAATACAAGATAAAGAATTAAATAGTCATAAAAAATAAATTAAATATATTATTAAAATGATAATAGGATAATTATTATAACTAATTCAATAGTATGGAATAGTGTCCCCATGGAATAGTGTGCACTCTTAACTAAAAAGCTCAACCTGTTTATACTTTTGAAATTTGGAAAATAAATTTGTTATAGTTCATTAACTATCTCAATAAATAACTCTGATAGCATATTTGTGTAGCAACCTAACAAGATGCTTGGATTATGAACTTTAAATATTTTATTGATATACTAAAAAGAGTGCTTGTTTTTGGTTTAATGCTATTTACATTGACTTTGAGTGAACATACAGGATTTACTTAAAACAGTTAATTGTCAGTTAATCAGGAAATGAGATTAAATTCACCAGTTTTGTCCAAGAATTGATCCTGTTTGGTAGATCTTTGCTTACTCTTTTCAATCCAAGAGGAGTTATGAGAAACTCATCCATGAAGAAGCAGTGATCTTCAAAAATTTATATATATAGTAAGTTGTGATAAAAATACACAATTTCAATATTAATTTTTGCCATTAGGCAATATACATATTTAAATTCATAGTAGTTATATATTAGATCTTAATGTCTTCACAGTGTAAAAATCTACATTTTAAACAAACACACATGAAAACATTAATATATCTCCCGTATTAAATAAGAAGTGCGAATTCATGAAATTGGGCACTTATGGATTTCCTTTTTTTTTTTATTCATGACGTGAATAGCTACCGATGGGTAAAAACTGTGAATCTAATTATTAATCCATATCTTCAATAAAACTCGTTATCATTTGGTGTTCGACACTATTTTTCCATGTATCTTCTCTATAGCACTGCTTTCAATTAAAATATAATTTTGACTAATAGCTCATTACGAAGAGGATGTAATGATGAACATTTACCTCGCTGGCAATATGCAGGTCCGATTTTTAGTTGTTGACATATTTTAATCCATATGCAAAAACACTTCAACTAGTCGACTCCGGCGACTTTATCCTAGCGTTACACTTCGGAAATCTGACGGCTCCATCTAATTCACTATCCGAAAAAAAGTGCAAAACGCGGCTAAAGAAGTTTTTACTTCGAAAAAGTTTTCCGAGAAATCTCCTAGCAAGAAATGGAGCAGATTCACCTAAATGGAAAATAATAATACGGGAGAACTGTATTGAGAGAAGTGGAATCAGTGATGGGTAACTATTCATAAAAGCTCAACCTTGGGAAAATAATTAAAATATTTTCCTTCTATTCAAGAATGGCCGCCTGATTTTTATTATTTTTTTCCCCTTCAAAGAAAATAAATAGAAAAGCTAAGTGGAAGGACAAAGAATTATGAGAATGAATGGTAGAAGTGGTATGATATAGTTCTTCCAAAAATCTGTATTGTTGAGAAGCAAGGAAGGGTGGAAATAAATAAAGATTATTTCTTGTAATGATGGTAATAGAGCTAATAAGATACTTCTTAATAGTATTATTTCCTTTAAAAAAATACCAAATAGAAGATTAAACAAGAAGTTTTCACGAACTCTAACTCTTTGTTAATCTAAAATATTTTAAAAATAATATGTAATCAATAGTTTAATTTATATTGTAAATGGTAAATACAAAACGCAAAAGATCAAATATGGTTGTATTACCTGTGCTTTGAACCTTCTCCTCCAGGCCAGCAGTTGGTAAGATTGCAACCTGTGCCGTTCTTTTAGGTCCCTGATGACTCGGCGTGCTTCCTCCAGGCTGTGGACCCCTTCGTCGCTCTCATCCTCCTCGCTCTTCCTGTAAATTTCATACGTTGAAGATCAGTACAACAACGGCATTGGTTGGAAAAATAGTTTGTTTCAAGTTTGATATAATAAGTATGTAATTGGCCATGTAAACAAAATACATCACATGGTAGAAAGCTGCAAATACTTATTAGAAAAATAATCATAGAGGTGGGAATGGGGAGGGGAGAGGGTAAGAGGATAATCGCCCCCTAATAAAAATGTTAAGGGGGCGAGAATATCGTTACCCTTTCCCCTAATAATTTGAGGAAAAATAATTAAAATAAATAATAATGAAGATAAGGATGGATGGGATGATCAGTGAGAAATAAAAAGGCAAAATAAATAAACATTAAAAATTTTAACATTTGCCGACGTTTCTTCCTGAAGTTCAGGCCTTCATCAGGCCTAAGAAAAGAACCATATAACAAGATATGAGAAACATAAACAATTGGGTAAAAAAAATTAAGTAAAATGAAGTTGGTAGAATAATGCCAATGACAAGAAATACGAAATAAATAATAATAACCGTTACAAAGTGTGGTATAATGAAGTAAACATAATCAAAATAAGTACTAAAATGGTAATCTTATAATAAAATGTAAAACAGAAAAAAGGAATATGAAGTTATATAAGAAATAAAAATAAATAGTAAAATTAAGATATTTTAAATAGAAAAATAGTTAGATAGAAAATTGAGATATTTTAAAGTCTATCAAGATGTACTGACAATGTATAATATTCTAAGGAGTTAAAACAGAGAAAAGGAATGAAAGGAAGGGGGGGGGAGGGAAGAGAAGGCTGAAATAAGAAAGAAAAAGAAAAACCAACCTGCCCCCAAAAGATTGCTGGAGTACAGTGAAGATATGGTAGCAAGGGAGGGAGGAGATGTATAAATTAAGAGATAAAATAAATAATAAATAAACTACACGAATGAATGAAATGTATAAACTAAAATCGAATTAAGAAAAGTCGACAAGCTGGTAGGGCTAAAGCCTAAAGTAGTAGGTATGTACTATTTTACTGATAACTAAATGTTACTTTTATTTTAATTATCATTTATGTTTAAAGATAATAATAACAAGGTAATAATATATATCAACATATCCTAGAATTTTAAGATAGATAACTCCTCAATTTCCACATGATATTCATATCACATTATCGAGACAAACCAATCGGACTATGAAAACGTTATATCTTTATTTGAGGTTGTATACATTATGAATTAATTTTTTTTTTTCATTAAGTAACATTTTTACATTTACATAATTCTTAATAAGTTAAAGAAATGCACCAATGTTATGAAGGTTGTCTCCTCTCCTCCCTGTGTTTAATCTAAACAAATATGCTATATACTCAATAGTATTTTTTAAAGATATATTACAAGTATATATGATAAGTAAAAAGAAAACAATAAATAAATAAAAATCCTTCCAACTATACGAACAAATTAATTTTAAGTATTCAATATTATATTTGCTCGTTTCACAATAATTACGTTGAATTTTTACACATAATAAAAACATCCGCCATTTTTTTTTCGATCTCCCCCTCAATCAAAATCGAATGTTTGCCCTTAGAATAGTAGCACTAATATCAACAAACAGCACTTTGTATGTTGTAAACACCAAAGGTAAGAATGGTATGTTAAATTAAGTAAACGGTTTCACTTGATTGCAAATTAAGCTTGTATTTATTGATAAACAGGGAAGTAGTTTACATAAATGAATTATACTAATTACAGTCTGTTCGATGTTCCATTATTGATCTATACTTCGTAATGCAGCATAAGACCACCTAACGAAGGAACCTGTTCGAGATGAAGTAATTACAGATATTTTTATTTGAGCCATCATTACGAAATTTTTAAATACAATTGCGGACATAGAAATTGCATAACTCAGTAAACATTTTATTTTAATTACCAGAATGTTATCTGCAAGATCTCAGGATATTTGTTTGCCAGTTTTGAAACGATGTTCTAAAAACAACTGCACCAAAAAGCGGTCAAATAGTTCATTTTTTTTCTACTTCCGGTACATTTCTTTCGCTCCATGGTGCCTTTTTATTTTTTTTTTAAAACTATAACTACCGTTGGTTGGTGGTACACTATCCTTATTACTATTTCCCGTGAAAATTCTTTGACTTCATGTAACGTCTCAATTTTAATATTTTCTGGCGAGGGCAGTTTTTTTAAATAAGTTATAAATACAGCTTTTATACAGCTTATATGTATTAGTTAAAACTGAACTGAGAAACATTGTTAAAGTTTTCTTGTAACCTAAATAAGAAAATAAAAATAAAATCATTCAATAGAATCAACGTTATCAACATAAGAATCAAAAGAAATTGGTGATGCGTTTTTTATGACTGCGACTGTATGTATTTCAAACATCTTTTAGAAATGTCCGTGATTATATTTTAGCTTATTAACAATCTTATTTCTTGTTTTAAAACTACTTGTTAGCAATTAGCAAGTATTTTTAAGATAGTGAAGTATGGAGTTATTTGACTGCGTCATCCAAAAATGAACGATTACAACTATATTTTTAAATCTGCATTGAAGGTGCCTGAAAGGAAGCCTTTTAGCAGAGGATTGTTATCGGACTGTATGTACTTGCTCCAAGTCATTGCAAAAATACAGAATCAGATTTAGTTACCAACATAAATGGAATTCCGATGATACTCGAAGATGGGGATCACTATGATAGCCGAACTTTCCTTTATTTAGATCGCGATTTAGGACTCCTGAAAATTCTCTACTAGCCCTTTTCAGTTAAAATTGGGACGTTAATTAGATTGCTGCTTTCGACTCCAGCTCGCTACTTCCAAACTAAAAGGCTGGAAAAAAATACCGATGAATCCCCTTTTCAGTTGAAGGGCCTCATCAGACGGTTCGGTCACTCTCGAATACACTCCACCATTTTCAAAATTCCCTTTAAAATATGATCATGAGATCTTGATCCATTCGTGAAAGTGGAGTGACATAAATAAATAAGAATTAATATGTCACTTTAGCACGTTTACGTTTGTAGCAATGAATGCTCAATATATGAATGCTCAATATCAATAAATATTCATTCCTTGATCCGATATCGTTTCGCTAACAAATTTAATTTTGTTTCAGCTTCAAATATAGATTTTATTTTAGGGACAAAAAAATAAGAATCGAGCCAACCATGGGTCCAGCCTTCCTCGCCAAATGTAATTAAAAAAAAAAAAGGAATTTTTAAAAATATTATTAACAACTTTCTAAAAGATTTTAATTAGACAATAAATAATAATTCTCTTGAATTTAATTACTTCCTCCTCTATTTAAATAATTTCTTCCCTTCTGGCAGAAGCTCAAACACTCCTGAAAGAGACAATGCCAATTAGTGTTGCCCAAAATCGGTCTTGGTCTTGCACTTTGCAAGACCAAGACCAAGCCCTCCTAACTGTTGCAAGACCAAGACGAAGGCTGGTAAAAAAAAAATCGATTTTTTAAATTAAAATTGAGGATAAATAGTTACTAATACTCGACAATTTTAGTTACTATATGTTAATAATTGGTATAACCAATATACTTTTTCATTGTGGCGTAGTTAGGTTTCTCCTATCTAAAAAATTACAGTAATATCTTTATAGTAATAAGCTGATAAGTTACAGCAAGACTGTTGCGAAACTCTTGCGCAAGACCAAGACTGAGTTTGCAAGACCAAGACTCATCTAGGTCTCGTATTTGGGCAACACTAATGCCAATCCTAGCAATTTTGATTTCCGTTTTATAAATTGAATAACTACTTCCATTTTTAATTTTTCATTTCCAATTTTTTCCCATTTATAAAGTGGTTGGAATCCTCATTAAAAATTTATTAGTTTGTAGATAATCAAAACTATGCCAAAAGTTGATATAAAATCAGGTTGGGAACGAGATAAAATCCTACGAGATTTTCCCACTTATTATGAGTAAATTATTTTTTTTTTTTCGGTAGATAATTTTTTTCTTGTTGTTTGTTGTTGAATTTCAAAAATCCCTTTTTCCATTATTAAATAAAAATGTGTTGCAGTTTTATATATATCTAATAATGAACCATAGAGTTATACTATCATAAAAGTGAAAAAAAAAACAAAAGAAAAAAAAAACCTGACATTGTACTAATGAATTAACCATACTTTCATTTAAATCGCATCCACATGTTCAAAATGATAATGATAAGAGTATTATTCAAAATATCATTATGATGATTATTATTTGTATATGTGTCATTGAAATTTATTAGGTAAATTTAAAAATAAATGGCGTTGAATTACCATATGATTGTCAATTAGAGAGAGAACTTATTTCCATGTGAAATGCGTATTGTTTTTTATGTTAGTTGAACACAGTGAAAATTTTTAGATGTCTACGATATATGATGCTTTTCCGAGAACATTTAACAATTGGATTTCTTCATAAGGTAGGTAGGTAATTCGTTTCATAAGCATATGTTACCAATGGATAACTAAAAAAAAAAAAAAAACATCATTTCACATCGGAAACTGAGATATTCTGTATTTCCGAATATTTAACTTACAAAATCGAAAACTCCTTTAATGTTAAATTAAATTAAAGCTGCTAAATGGTATTTGAGTTAGACAAGAATATCGAAAACTAGGTTAAAAATGCGAATTCTATCATTTAAGTAACCAATCAGCATGCCCTGTTGAATTAATGTATAATTGGTTTATTCATATCGTAAAACAAATTTTGATAGGTTATTTTATTTTTTAAAAATATTGAGTTTCAGTGGGGATGATTGGGGGGTGAAGTGGTGGGGAAAATTGGAGCACTATTCACGCACATTCGACCTGAAAGCAGTATATGTACGCTGTAATGTAAGGTTGCTAACTATTTAAGTAACCCTATTGTATTGACTAAGTAATGATTAACGAAAAAAATCACAAACGATTAGTCATCATTCAAACACTGGATTGCGATGATATGAAAAAATTATTTATGCCAGTTCGGAATCGCTACTCCAAGATGGGGACTCGTTTCAAGATCACTTCGAACACGCTATAAATAGAATTCCGAAAGTAGCCAAGTTTTGACAATCAATGTTTCTAACAAACAATAGACATGTCAAAGAGACATTTTCCCTTGAAATGCACAGAAAGCAATTTGCTGAGAAATAATTGATTTTTTTTTTTTATGATGGGGAAAACACTTGATTATATTTGAGTTGATCCTTTCAGTTGACAGATTGACTAACCCTAATTTCAACACTTTTGATTATGAATTTTAGTGATATTACTAGTGGGATAATTTATACCTTTATTCACAATTCTATATATCTACACTGCATCATCTACTCTGGAATCAACTTACTAACAGTCTGTACAGATATTATAGATTTTCCAACTTTACTCAAAAATGTTGAAATTGGAGCTAGCCGTTCTAATTATTTTATCTAGGTGATGATTGGAGACGCATTGGCCATAAAATATTCCTTTAGTGAGTTTTCTCGTTTTCGGCAAGAGCCGTCAGTTGATATAAGGGGACGGGCTCCTTCTTTTCTTGGCAAATAGAGCCTTGCCATGGATGCATTTGGGTGATGAATCTTAGTATCTGTCATCATTGTACGCACCAGGCGGTCCATTTCTAGAAGTTTATTAGTTGACCATTTTATTACACCAAAACTGTTTAAAGAAAACATTTTTAGGAAGTTCTTTCGAGCAATGGTCTTGAGGATCACCCACATGTTTGGATCGAAACCTCGACTAACCCAATCAAAATTGACTGAAATTTTTGTCAATTTCGTTTCATCCTTATTTATTTTTTACTTTCCTACTAGGGTAACACTCTACAAATATCAATCCACTTTGCCGAGTGGGTCAAGATCTCGCAATGAGGCTATAAATAGGATTCCGAAAATAGCCAAGGATTCACAACTCTTGGCGTCTTGCAAACTCAGTCTTGGTCATGGTATTGGTCTTGCGCAAGAGTCTTGCAGTTAATTATTAGCTTATTACTGTAGATATATTGCTGTAATTTTTTAGATAGGAGAAACCTAATTAAGCCCGAATGAAAAAAAGAGGAATTAAATGCAAAAGTATATTGGTTATACCAATTATTTACAAATAGTAACTAAGATTGTCAAGTATTAGTAACTATTTTGCCTTAATTTTTATTCGAAAAATCGATTTTTTTTACCGGTCCTAGTCTTGGCCTTGCAACAGTTAGGCGGCCTTGGTCTTGGTCCTGCAAAGTGCAAGACCAAGACCGACTTCGGGCAACACTATTGACAACGTATTCACAATATAATCTCCCTTTATTTAGACAGCGATTTACAACTTCGGAACTCTACTGTTCCTACTTAAAATCGGGGTCATAATTAGTTTTAATTACAACGCAACTTTCGACTTAGCTCACTTAAAAGGTATAAACAAACCCCAAAAGAGTCAATTTCAATTCATGTCGGGATCATTCGGACACACTCGGCCATTCTCCCGATTCTATTTATAGTGTGACTTGACTTGATTTTGTGCTACCCATGAAAGTGGAGTTACATTTGTACAATTGTACCTCTAGTAGTTTTAATGACACTATTATAACCGGATCAATAAAAATTGAAGTTTTTAACTGATTTATGCCTGTCATAGCCCTTCGAGCTTAGAATTTAAAAAGCCGATGACACGTGTATCCTATCAGTTAACAACGATCCATCAGTTGCATCCCAAACTCTCCAATCACACATCACAAGTCTTGAAGAATGGTGTCAAAACTGGAGGATTAAAATAAACTCCAATAAATTCCATCAAATTCCTTTTACCCTGCGTCGCAAACCTATGACCTCCTGTTCTACAGTATCCTTCAACAATTCCCCACTTATCCCAGTTGAACAAATCCGTTACCTAGGACTACACCTCGACAAACGACTCACATGGAATCCTCACACAAGACTGAAACGACAAGAAACCGCTCGACGTTTCCGACTACTCCAACACTTACTAGACAAACGCTCTAAGCTTTCAATCAATTACAAACGACTCGTATATATGACAATAATAAAATCTATTTGGACTTACGGAATTGAGCTCTGGGGCTCCACTAAACCATCGAATTCCTCTCGTATCCAATCCTTACAATCCAAAATCCTTCGCTATCGATTCGACCGAAAGTGAGAAATATTGACTATTACAAAAACATGCGGAAGGAGAAGGAATTGCATGGCAGATTTTACCACCAATTACATGAGCCGGAGATTGACAACGAGCTCTAAATTGAGTTGCTTAAGACGGGGCAAATATATAGCGAGAAATAAGGTTTTTTTTTTAATAGCTATTCAGGATCAGGTTATCGCAACCAGGGACTATAGGAAACATATATTATAAGAAAATCTGGCCACGGATAAGTGTCGGGTATGCTCGAAGACGTACGAATCTATCCAACATGTTACCAATGGCTGCAATACTCTGGCAGGAATGGAATAACTCATGAGGAATTATTATTTCACAGAAATATACCACCAAAGTAAATGTAGAAAATTTGGACTACTGGAGAGAGATGAGTTACCCTATTATCGTTATGCCTCGGAAAAACTTAATGAAAATAAGAATATAAAATTTTACTGAGATCAAAATATAATAATGGACCATAGAGTATTGCATAACCGTCCGGATATCTTGGTTACAAACAAAAGAAATAATACTCGAGAAATTATAGATGTAGCAGTATCTTGTGATACCAACTTGGTAACCACCAGGGCCGAAACAATCAGAAAATATCAAGAATTTGCTTTCGAGTTAAAAATGCAATATCACTTGGAAATAGTGAAGATTACTCCAATAATCATATCTTCTAATAGTTTAATATTGAAATTCACAGTAGAGGGCACCCAAGAACTTGGACTTGAATTGGCGCATTTAAAAGCAGTCCTGCTCAATACGTGCAGGATTGGCAGAAAGTTTCTAAATAAGTAATTTTTTTTTATTTTTACGTTCAGATACATTTTCTGGAATGTTTTTTCCGGGATGTAGATGCTATTACAGAAATCTGAGAAAGCTAAGACAATAAATAATAATAATATAAATGTTTTCCTTATTATTTTCTTGATATGTTTCCAATATATATGATTAGTTATTAAAATATAAAATTTGTTCGCAGATAGATGGGACGGTATTGGTTCCCCATGCTAATGGTGGGTCTTCTAAGTGGCACAGCGACCGCTGTAGTCGGCGTCGGGGTCTCCAGGGCGGTATCAAACTTCAGGGAAGAGAACAAAGTTGTACCAAGAAAAGGGCCCATTCCAATGCAGGATTACAAGAAGTCGAAGCCTGAAGACTACCGGAAGGAAAGAGCTTCATAAAAATCATTGGCATCATACTAAAATAAAATGCTTATGCATTATCTAGCTTTTATTGACAGTAAATAGTTTGTTTAAAACCAAGTGTTAAAATAACCTGCCAACGTTAGGCCAATAGTGTGGCGTTGAGGTATCTTCAGTAAAAGTGATAATTTGATGGAGTATTTCGAAAATTCCAACTTCTCACAGATGTTTATTGACTAATATAATTTTATTGAGAGGTAAATTGTATTTTATTGTCAAGTAATCTATACAATTTTCCACACTTATAATTGCCCAGCTATACATGTAGTATTGCTATTGTGACCATAATATCATATTTACAGATAAGATAAGACCAAATACAATATGTAAATAAAATTAATAGAAAGTAGCATGAATAAATACATTAAATATAAGAAACAATGAGTAAATAATTAAAATTATATGTTAAGTTAAAATCCCCTTAAATATAATATTTCTGTCCATCTTAAGGAACTCCGATCCAATTTCGTATCCTTCCTTATCATTCTAATTATCCAAAAATCTGCAAGCACCCGAGGAAAATAAAATAATTTTGACTACATCTATAGTAAGAAAATACTATTTTCAAATATCTATCTATCTATCTATCTATCTATCTATCTATATATATATATATATATATATGTATATATATATATATATATATATATATATATATATATATATATATATATATATATATATATATAGATAGATAGATAGATAGATATTTGAAAATAGTATTTTATATATATACATATATATATATATTTTGTCATGTATATATATATATATATATTTTTTTTTTAAATCATCTGCTGATTTTTTATTGATAGGTCGTTAGTTTAGGGTTTCTTATATATACATATATATCAAAGTAATTCTGTAAATAGTTACTGAATCTATAAGAAACCCTAAACTTACGACCTATCAATAAACAATCAGCAGGCGATTTAAAAAAAAAAACACTAAAAAATATCTCCTTATTCTTTGAATATACAAAACTCTGATTTCATACCTACATTCTTCTAATTAAAAAAAAAAAATCTGGTGCCCGCAACACACAACATTCACTTACCGCTCTACTTTGAATAGAAATTATTTTTTGGCATCGTTGGGCTATTATTAAATTTTTGAATTGCATTTTAAACGGAGCTAAAGCTTAAAGCTTACAGGTAACAAATCGTTAAACCATTAAAGACCATTAAAACTAGAAAAAATTCTATTTATTATATCGACGATAGGGATTAAAATTCTACTTACTCCATCTACTTTTATAAACCACACAACTTCAGTCTCTGAGCCTTTCGGTTGTCTGAATTACTAACACCAATATCAACATTATTGAGTAATGTCTTTTTAGTGATGTTTCTAGTTGAAAAAGTTATATCTGTACAGACAATGAGTAAGTTGATTGCAGTGTTTAAATATAGAACTGTGAAAAAGGTATAAATTTTGCAACTAGAAACATTACCAAAATTGATAATCAAATATGTTGAAATCGGAGTTAGTCATTCTGTCAACCGAATATATGCCTTGAGAGATTTTTAAGTATTGTGAATCTAAATATTTAACCCATAAATGATTATGGATTGTTATTAAACTGTTATTTTCAATTCACTAAAATGAAATTACGAGATTTCGAATGCCTGCCATGGATTGGAGTTGTCACAAAAGTTTTCACACTAATTGTAATTGGATAATTTTGGGATTTTACAAACGTAAAATTCATCAAATTATTCATTAATTTAATTTTCTAAAAGTCTACTTGATGATTTTTTGGAATAAAAGGCCAATAGATACCTAATTATTTAAATATAATACCATATCTAGACTTATTAAACTACAGTAAATGCATTGAAGGGGTTATAAACATAATCATGAAATATTTTTATATTTCACTTCTTCATTCACACAAACACAATGAAATAATATTTTAAACAATGGCATTGCCTTGATTCGGTGGATTTTAAGTACTTTTTTTTTCAAACTAAAAAAAAAAATTTTAAAGTTTACATTTAGTAAGAAAATTTCATTTAATTTCCTTGGAAACGTGTGATTGACGTTAAATAATGTTAGTTTTCTGAAATGATTATATTTTTGTTGTCACTCTCAGTTACCTTCTAAAACTTTCTTTATTTGATATTATTTTTCATAAAAATCTCCGCTTTCCAACGATATATTACACGTATGCCTTCCGGCTAGTATTTCCGGAGATTCATTTTCGACCTGGAACAGCATTTTTCTTTTTTTCTCCGTTGTTCGATTATTGAATTCTTTCAAAATTTATGTTTAGCAATTTTTTATAGTTACTGTCAATAAAAGAGAGTTACCTATCTTAAATACATAATATACGTTTTGTACGACTTTTCACTTTTGAGCTAGTCTGTTCACACACACACGCACAGACCATTTTGCATTTTGCGGGACTTGCTTATTGGGGCTTAGGAGACCTCAAAACATGTTTTTCCGTTGAAAACTCGGATTCGAAAATTTTCACGATTGCAATACTTTCTCTTACTATATATTCCATATATAGGTAAGTGAAAGTAAAAATCTATTTTCAGCATTTTAAAGACCGAAGAAATTTTCCAGCTGACATTTTTAAAATGATTTTTATGGTTCTAGTTTGTCCTTTTTTTTTTTTTTTTTAAATATGTTTTTCTTTCTTAATGAATAAAAAAGAAATTCCACTACTTTTTTTTCACAATTGTAATTTTCAATTCACACCAATTAACAAAACTATGGGAACAATCGGTGCAAGTAATTTCTTTATATACATGGAGTTATTTGTATATTTTAATGTAATAATTATTTCTATATTATAATGTAACTGACGACTCTTCTTAGATTTTATTATTATTATTTATATGATATTTACAACTGTATAAAAAAAAAATACATCTAGTAAATTCGTACATGGATATGATGACATGAAACACATGTTGAGAAACTACCCATTGGTAGCTTTCTAATAATATGTCTATATTAGGAGATCACGGTACCATCTTCTTTTCAGACGCCTCGGTTGGTTATCAGGAATTGAATAGAAAGCAAGGTTAGAAACGAGAGTGTTGGGGTGGTTAAGAAGTTTATTATGGAAGGATAGATATTGGGCCAAAACCGATACATAAGGAACATTAAGGTCATTATGGATGATCTTATTTGTAACAAAGTATGGAGCATTGAGAAGTTTACGTTAAGGATTGGATACGAAAGGAATTTGAGGGTTTGGTGGAGCCCCATAGCTCAACTACGTAAGTCCAAATAGGCCTTATTATAGTCATGTATATCAGCCTTTTGTAATTAATTGGAAGGTTTGAGCGTTTTTCTAGTAAGTGTTAAAGTAGTCGGAAACGTCGATTGGTTTCTTGTCGTTCCAGTTTGGTATGTGAATTCTAAGTTAGACCTTCTTAGATTAAACGAGAAACAAAAGGTAATAATTTATCTATGATATTCGTAACCTGATAAAGGTACATAATATGTCCTAATAGATAAATGATAGTTTTAAACAGAGAAATCATTTGATCTGATGATACCGTCAAAAGGTACTAAAGGAAAGTTGAATTGAATTGACTAGTAAATAGCTTTTTAGCAATCATGAGATAAGGTGGTATACATGAATGTTATAGCAGGCTGACAGGAGGGCGATGAAGAGCTGCGGAGGGAAAGGGGAGACAAAGCAAATTTTGCTCCTAGCAGGGGCACCAGAGGCGTGGGGTCTCGAGGGAAGCCACAAAACTGTTGATGGCAGGAGTCAGTCTACCTCGTTATTCTCGGGGGGCATTGTCATATAAACTCCAAGGAAGTAGTCAAAGAGGGAGAGAGGTGAATGTAGAAATAAAAGAGAAAGACATCAGGATATATTGGAAGATTATATTGAATATTATTGACACTACAACCGAAATATTGAAATAGAGTCTAGTAATACATTTTAATTTACTGAAAAAAAAATAATCCTTCACCATTCTCGTGAATATCATAGGAAGATGAAGGTAGAGAAAAAAAACTAAAGCAATATATCCTGCCCATCTGTGACATCTAATCTTCATTATATGTTCATGTTTATCATACAGTTCCATATCCACGGCCGTCGCATAGGCATAGCTACCGCCCCATCGCGGCCTATGGGGCGTCTCGAATCAGGAACAGAAATGCATAATGCTTTTAAAAAAACTTATTTTTATCAGCTTTCTATTTTTTAATTCATTCCTTTTTATTTTTGATTAGATCATAATATACGACTAGCGCTACAATTATTTCTAACCTCAGTCCCACTTGCTGTAGTTTGATAAATTACAACTACAATTGGCTAGAGATTCATCGCTAGTGATCGGAAATGCAAAAGTATAATAAAGTACAATATATAAAACAATAAACTATTGGCCAAGTTCGAGGGATGTGATGGGGCATCTGATATAATTTCACTCCGGGCGCCAAAAACTCACGTTAAGACTCTATCCGTATCCACAAACACCAAGAAAAATTATAATGCTAAAACTTATGGTATTAGCCGATTCATGACAAATGAATACATTTTGAAAGTTCTTGGTCAATTAATATTGATTTTACAAATGAAAAACCAAACAGGTACATGCTGGTTTTGAGCCCAAAATGAGCCCTATCTTCAAAAATTTAAAAACCCATATTTCTGAAACTAATTGTTAGAATTGGCTTAAATTTAGTATTTGTACTTACATGTATATTTGCTTACATACAAAGTTTCATTAAGATCTGTGGGAGATGGGTAACAAATTGATCTTTTTCTGGATGATTTGGCATGGAATGACCCTTTAGTAAAAAGAATCAAATGAGATTTTAAGAAGGCATGTAATATGTTGAATGTTACATTACATTAGTGATTAAGCTAATTATTATATTAGTTATTAAAACTTGATTTAATTATTATTGAAAATTTAATTTCCAAATTTTTCCTAAACCTTAAGTCTCATAGCAGCGCGTAAAAATGTATAAATACCTATTTCCTTCTACATTACAAAGGGGTTCATATAATTTTTCCACCTTGTTAAAAGATATTACTTATCTTTTCATTAATTTCTAAAGTTTGGTGCAAAGTTTTCAGATTGACTTTGTAATAACAGAAGTCTGTAATTTCTATGCAGAATTACAGAACAATAAGTATTTATAAGCCCATATTGATAAACTGAAAACGATAACAATTGAAACGAATTTGAAGAAATACAAACATTTAAAAAATAAGACTAGAAATATATTATTCGGGCGAGGGATTATGTTTAAAAATATTATTTGTCCCGGAACGTTATTTTCTTTTGCCGAGGAATAAACCGATCCAATTCCATCTCCCTTTCTTCTTAAACAACCATTTCTTGCAATGGCAATTTACAGCTAGTTTGAGCTCATTTTTTTCCCCTCTC